ATTTTGATAGCATACTATTCAGAGGGAAATTAAAATTTCAAATTAGCAAAAAATTGTATTAACAAACACTGTTCCTAAAGTAATTCTAAACAAATATTGTTAATAAAAATTTTTGATTTGATCAATAATTAAGAACGTAATTTCATAAAAATTTATTTTTATTATTTTGTTATTGAGAAAATCGTTTTAGAATTTAATTTAGAACAACTTTTGTATGAAATTTTTTGCTGAGAACGAGTGGAGTGGGGAAATCGCATCGTTTTGTTACAAAAGTTCCGTGCCCTAGTAATCATCNATTTAGAACAACTTTAGTATGAAATTTTCTGCTGAGAACGAGTGGAGGGGGGAAATCGTATCGTTTTGTTACAAAAGTTCCGTGCCCTAGTAATCATCATAAAAAAGCTTCAATAATTAACGCAAAAATCATCAAAATGTGTGTGTTGAAAAAACGAAAAATGTGTTTCTGTTTTTTTTCCATGTCTTACTATAAAATAATTAAATAAAAACTAGGATATAGAATATGCGTCATCATCCGCTAACCAACACCCTCAATCTCATCCCTTATTAAGCGCTAAAGAAGCTGTTTCCTTATGGGTTTTAGGTGCTAGAAAGGTAATGATAACTAATAAAAGTACCTTCTTAATCCATTTGCATCATAAGTTCAGATATGCGCGGATTTTTTTCTTATCACCAAAACTACTAGATATAGAAATAGGTATTATTTACACTATTATAATTACTTAATGTACTGGAATTAACTTAACACTTGCACTATCATTAGAACTAATACTAAATGTAGAACTAGAAACATTTGGATATACTGGGTGAAGACTAGATACTGTTTGCAGAAAACTAGATACTGCTAATGAAATACTAGAATCTGCTGGCAGATACTGTTGCAGGACTGTTTGTCCACTTTTAGAGAGAGATGGTATATCGCAGTCTTACTGTGCTCTGGCTGTATTTATAATTATTAGATACTGTTAATGCAAGATTAGATACTGCTGATGCAAGATTAGATACTGCTGGAATATTGCTAGATACTGTTTGCAGAAAACTAGATACTGCTAATGAAATACTGGAATATGCTGACAGATGCTGCTGCAGGACTGTTTGTCCACTTTTAGAGATGTACTCTGGTTGTATCTATAATTATTAGATACTGTTAATGCAAGATTAGATACTGCTGGAATATTGCTAGATACTAACAACAGAAGACTAGATACTGCTGACAGAAGACTATAAGCTATTAGCAGAGCATTTGACGAGAAAGAAGAGGTTAAATTATTATGCTGTGAGTTGTTAAAGGTGTCACGTTGTGCCCAATGAGACTTTATTAAATAAACTGGAACATTATGGTATAAGAGGGCTACCAAATCACATGATCCGTAGTTATCTAAGCAATAGAATGCGTGCAATAGAAGGGTCGAACTTCAGAAGTTACCAATATTACTTCTGGTGTCTCACAAGGATTAATTCTGGGTCCAGTGCTTTTTATTATTTATATAATTGACCTTCCTGTAAATATCTCGGCAGAAGAGAACAAGAAAGAAAGAAAATCGGAGAAGCAAAATAAAGCTGCCAGCTGAAGAGGAAAAAGAGAAGAGGCAGATGATGTCAAAAATCAGTCTCAGATAACTGTAGATACAACAGGTGATTTCTTGGCGAAGCTTTGAATACGGAAAAGCTACGAGCGTTACGCAATTCTGTGGGTAAATTATTCCACAGAGTTATAGCTTGTACAGTGAATGATCTGTGATATATTTCAGTAAATGAACGGGAAGCATGAGTGAGACATCAGACTGTGCTCTAGTAGGAAGACCGCGAGATGCCATGAACTGAAATGCAGTGAGCTGTATAAGGTAGTTAATTTAAGCTTCTCAACGGTGAGCATCTCGTGATGATTACGATATCGTGTAAGATAGTCATACTTTCTCAGGTTGAAAATAAAACGCAGACAATTATTTTGTACCTTCTCTAATTTGTTACGGAGACTAATCGAGAGGTCTGGGTACACAGCTTCGGCATGGTCCAAATGGGGGAGAATTAAAAAGTAACAGAGGTTGCGACGAACAGAAGGTGGAAGGAAACAACCAAGTTTGCGTAGGGATTAGAAACAGAAATAAACCTTCCTGCAGACAGACTGAATCTCGGACTGCCAGGACAATGCAAAAATGGATGATCAAGTGACAGATGGGTATTGATGGAGTAAAATTTTGTTAGCAAAGGTCTTAATCCGAAAGCAATTGCTTGAGTCTTTGTCTTTAAACTCAAGCCATGGCATCTAGACGAGTCTAGAACACTAGCAAGATCTGCATATAGATTAATATTGCACTCAATCATCTTAGTAATGCAATTTATGAAGACGGAAAAGAGAAGTGGACCCAAAACACTGCCCTGAGGCACACCGCGACGGCTTGTAAATACAGACGAGAAAGATGAATAGTCACGTACATACAAAGATTTGCTATAACAGAATCAAATGATTTGCTGAAATTAAGCAAAACCAATAAGCTCAAACGCCGGTCATCGCAAACACGTCTAATATCATCGGTAATTTTGATAAGCGCCGATGTGCTATGATCTCGCCGGAAACCAGATTGAAAATCAGTGATAATCTTGTGCTCATCAAAATATCGCATATACACCAAGTGCTTAAAAAATTACGGAAATAATAGATATAGGACGAAAATCACTTGGAAGAGGACATAAATTTTCACAAAAATAGTGGCAGTAATTTAGCAGAATGCATGATGAACTGAAGTCATCTGTCAAACGGTTTCTAACCGAGTCTTTAACTCTCGAGTCTTTGCCTCGCAGGCATAGGTTGATGAAAATATTGTTAAAATAGCATGAGCCAGCTTCTTCAAACAATTAAATGTATCTGATAACGCATTCCATGTTTTCAGAATTTTGTTATTAGCATTTTCACTTATATTACTCTGTTTCAATTAATTCTAACTCTTTCCTTGTTTCAATAAATTTTTGAATCCATATTGAACTAGACTGGAAATCAATCAGGTGCATTGCAAATTCTTCAATTTCCAACCAATCCAATTGGGACAAATTCAGTTTATCCAATGACGTCACATAATAAGCTTGAGTATTTCCGATAATTCTTAGAACTGAGAAAATTTCCTGATTGAAGAATCAATCACAAAAATAAATTCTTCAGTAACTTGGTCTTCGTCTGGTTTCATTCAAAAGCTCCAATGAGGTATACCATGACGATAACTGTTTTATTTATGCCTCATGTTTAACTTATTTAAATGTTGGCATATGTCTGTAAAAAATATCAATTTTGAAAGCCACATAACATCCAAAAACTGTGGGTATTCTTCAACTTTTCCTTCATTTTGCAGAAACAGTCTGATTTCTTCCAAGCAATCAACAAATCTTTGAAGTACAATCCCGCGACTCAACCAGCGAACATTATTGCACTATTTTATTATGCAAACATTATAGCCTGTTTAAAGCCTGCGATGAGATGAGGTTGATTATTTTTGTGACTACCGCCATTACATTATCAAGAGACTCTTATCACACAGGCTTGTTGGTGAATGATGAAGTGGAATTGCAATTTTAGTCTTTAAAAAGCATTATTTAGTGTTCCAGACGCTGTATTTAGACCTGTCGGAAGTATCTAGTCTTCAGAAAGCAGTATTTAGTCTTCTAGAAGCAGTATCTAGTCTTCTGCCAAACTTATGTATGTTTTCTCCAAAATATTTTATCTTCCTTTTGCAGTATTTAGACCTGTTAGCAGTNCTAAGAAAGATATCATCAAGAAGACTCAAGCAGCTAAAGGAGTAACGAAAATCACATCTGCCAAGCAAAGAAGTGCCATCCATGAAAAAATGGAGAGGTCGCTTTTAGTTTGGATAAATGAACGGGAAATGAAAAGAGATGTAACTAGTATGACTATTATTCAAGAGAAGGCTAGAGAAATTTTTGAGAAATTAAGAGAACAAACTCCAGGTTCGTCATTCGAAGAGTTAGAATTCAAGGCTACTACTGGCTGGTTTGCAAAGTTTAAAAGGAGGTTTGGAATTAAACATGGATTAATGCATGGTGAGTCTGGTAGTGCAGATAAAGAAGAAGAAGCTGCTATTGAACAATGCACCAGGACACCCAAAGCATCTTTCGATTCTCTGGTAAATCTGATTCTGATTGGTCGGCAAAAACGTGGTGAGGAGGGCGTTTTACTTTCTTATTTGTCCTACAAATAAGCTGAAGAGGTACTAGACGACTGGAAAATATTGGAATCGGAATCGCTGCTATTTGAAAATCTTTGTTTGAATTGTGCTTGTTCATCACACCCCATTTATACGTCAGTTCTAAAGATGCCAATTCATTTTGTGTGAGAGACATCAAAACTTATTCAAAAATCAGGTGACCTAACTGGTCATTCAATTGGTCCTCGTCTGCCAATCCACTTTCCAAGAAAACGTACATTTAGGTACTGCCTGAATACCATAATGCAGAGGTCTTTTATTTTGCTGGAATACGATGTCATCATCGATTCCACGATTATCTGCTGGGAACAAAGCTTCAACCGCAGGCACTACTTCATTTTGCAGTAGATTTAAATATCTTTCTGCATTTAATGTTGTGTTTATAAAAAAAAGGTCCAATAACTCATCCAGAAAGAATGCCAGCCCAAACATTTATCTTTTGTGGATATTGAGTACGGCCTTCTTGAATCTAATGTGGATTGATGTCACTCCAATATCTGCTGTTATATAATTGTTGACTCTAGCAGAGCCTTGTTGGAGCTTCTAATGCAGACTCACTTCCCAGGAAGCCTGATGATGAGGGCCGATAATGCCACAGCGGGCTATTCCTGCAAGGCAAAGCGCCCCTCAAATACGGATTGGAGTGTGGCTAGAAAAGTCGTCACTTACACATCCGTGGACCAGGCAATTCAAACGTTTAAGCCGTTCAAATCGCCTGGAGAAGACAATATCTTTCCTGCTTTGTTACAGCAGGGGAGGTCTTTGTTGTTGCCAATTTTGGTAAAAATTTTCAGAGCGAGTGTCGCCTGGAAATATGTGCCGGCAGAATGGACTAAGGTACGGGTATCTTACATACCCAAAGCGGGCCGTTCGGTCCCTACTTCTAATGCCTTTCGACCCATCAGCCTAACGTCATTTCTGCTGAAAACCCTTGAAAAAGTTCTGGAACGGTATATCCGTACGGTGCCATTGGTATCTGGTCCACTGAGTCGCCACCAGTATGCTTATCAAGCGGGAAAATCAGCAGAATTGGCTCTACACAACTTAGTTGGTAGAGTATCCAGGACGCTGCAGGATAAAGAAATCTTGGTTTGTGCGTTTCTGGATATAGAGGGAGCGTTCAACAACGCAATACCACAATCTCTTGAAAGAGCTGCTCTTGACAGGGGAGTGGAAGCAACTATAGCGGGTTGGATCCGCAATATGCTAGATAGTAGAATAGTTTCTACTTCACTCCACGGTGATACGATACGCTTCAGGCCGGGAGGTGGCTGCCCGCAGGGAGGGGTGTTATCTCCCCTGCTTTGGTCCCTCCTAGTTGACGATCTGATTGCGATAGTCGAAGCCGTTGGTGTGGAAATACAAGCTTATGCTGATGACATTGTCGTTATGGTCAAAGGAACCTGTTTGCCGAGGATATCTAAAGTCCTCCAGGTGACCCTAGATACCATTTGCGCTTGGTGTAAGGGAGAGAACCTCTCAATAAACCCGCAAAAGACAATTGTTGTGCCCTTCACCAGGAAGCGAAAGTTGGATGGACTAATCCGCCCAACTATCCAAGGTGAAGAAATTCCTTTCTCAAAGGAAGTCAAATATCTAGGAGTAATCCTAGACAAAACCCTGTCATGGAATGGACATTTGCAGGGAGTTTTGCACAAAGCTAGACTATCCTTGTGGACTTGTCGCAGTCTTTGTGGAAAAAATTGGGGTCTTACCCCTGAAAGACTGTACTGGCTCTATGTGACTGTGGTTAGACCTATGATCACATACGGAGCAGCAGCCTGGTATAGGAAAGTCCGACAGACTTCAGTTATCAGTAAACTTTCACGAATTCAACGAGTAGCTGGATTGGCAATCTCTGGTGCGATAGGCACAACGCCAACTCTAGCAATGGAGGTTCTGCTTGGCCTATCTCCTCTGCATTTGCATATAGAGAAAGTGGCTAGAACAACCATTTACAGATTTAAGCAATATGCTCAAAACTGTTCCGACATGTCCTACCAATGGGCTGCGGAAGACATTATAAGCACTGATACTGTGCTATCAATGCCGTCAGATTTGGCGGTATCACTATCAGTGATTAATGCTCGATACCAGATTGTACTGCCTGAGCGGCAGTCCTGGATCGAAAATGAAAATTCTCTGGTTCGGGCAGACATTTGCTTGTACACAGATGGATCAAAAACGCCTGAAGGGGTAGGAGCAGGAGTATACTGCCAGACACCTCGAATTAAGCAAGCCTACAGCCTGGGTACGTACTGTACTGTATTCCAGGCGGAAGTATTTGCTATTGACATGGGTGCTAAAATCCTTCTTGAAAGAGGGGTGAAGAACATGACAGTACGAATTTTCTCAGACAGTCAAGCCGCTCTCCAGGCGCTGCAAGCCGTGAAAACGGTGTCGGCTCTGGTTAATGATTGTAAGAGAACATTAAACACACTGAGTTGTGATAACAGAGTCTCTCTGATCTGGGTCCCGGGTCACTCTGGGGTTGCTGGCAATGAAGCGGCAGATAAGCTAGCACGAGATGGCAGCGCTGAAGCGTTTGTGGGACCGGAACCAGCAGTTGGTGTATCATTTGCGATGGCCAAATATAGGATTGGACTGTGGGCTGAAGAGAGACTTCGCCTACTGTGGACCAGTTCTCCTGGAATGAGACATGCTAAGGTGTTTATTAACATCGCCACTGTCAAACCCGGGAATATTTTAGGACTTGCCCGTAGTAGCATAAAAGTTCTAATGGGTGTTTTTACTGGGCACTGCCGATTAAAAGCACACCTCAACTTGTTGGGTTTAGCCGACGATGTTGAATGCCGACTATGTGCGGAGGAAGCAGAGACGGTTGAGCATGTTTTATGCCACTGCCCTGCCGTTAACCGTATCAGATTCTCGATTTTTGGGTCGCAGTTTACCTCCTCAAAAGATCTGAATGACCTTTCGCCGAGCAAGATATTAATGTTCGTTAAGAGCATTGGACTGCACGGTGAAATTTGATAACGATATCTATCGGGGTACAATAGATCCTTAGGGTCGCGGTGCAAGGTTGGTTGGTCCGCCTACCCGATATGTATTGTATGTAATGTAATGTAATGTACACCTACCAATCATTTCTTGTCATAATCGGCATCCTCAAATTCGTGAGCAAGCTGAAGCTAATAAAACATGGAAACAAGAAGTAGTATAAAACTACAAATAAGAAAAGCACATTTAATGTAGTTTTGTCATTTCGTCACTTTTTATAAGGTTATTAACACTTCCGGTGTTAAAGAATTTTGTAATATTTTAGATACTGTCGTTGTAACTAATTTATAAAACTTCACTTTGAGTCACCGAATTTATGCTTAACACGTTGACTGCCATGAGAAGTGTAACTTGATGCACGTCACCAGTTAATTCTCATACCTATTTTTTAATTTTAAATTGTTCCAGCCAAAACGGATTAAAGATTTACAAAGTACCGCGGTTTGACGCCATTTTGGCTCGAAAGTCAAGCGGGAAATTTAAAACTATGTCGTTCTATTGATAATATTACGTCAAATTTCCTTTCTTTTTTTCTCGTGGTACTCTGAAGACTCGAAAGTGCTATTTTTGCAACTCCAAAGGCAATATTTTTGTAAATAAGTGGTGAGATGTAGTGACAAGCTGTCAAACCGCCATTATGGCTCGAAAACATGCTTCATGAACCGCGGTACTTTAGAATGGATAGGCTTTCAGCGACTATTGCAGCAGTCAACGTGTTAATGGTATCAACGATGTAATTTCAACGCCTACTTTGATTCTAATTTGCTGATTTAATAGTTTCAAAAAACGAATTTGTTTCTTATACAACCATAGGTATAATTTGATATATTAATCGCGTAGAGATGATCAAAATATGCAAAAAAAACAATGCAAACATCGCCAAGATATGGGCCACAATTAATAAAGAAACTTTTATTTGAAACATTTTACTTTAAAACCACAAAGTTATTGGCTATATACCAGACATTTGACACACCCCTGTATAATAAAAAAAAGTTTGGTGATATGAACCATTTTATCATTTCGTCTAAATGATGCAGATGGGTTAAACAAACTCCTTTTTTACGCTTAACTATTTTCATTTAATTTTTAAGTAGAATTATTTCAATTTTTAATATTATCGTTTTTTTAAGGCTATGTACAGGCAATTGATGGAGGCTAAAAACGCCAAAAATAAGATCGACCCAGAAATAACACTGCAATTTTTAAAATCAGCAATTTACTACTTCTTAACTGACAAAGAAAATAGTCAAGGTCATCTAAAAGCGATCCAAAGCATTTTAGGATTCACCCCAGCCGAAATTAATCAAATTGATAAGAATAGAACTAATTAAATTTAAATATAAACGTATTTAAAAGTATTTTTTTTTTTGCACAGATATTAATATTAATAATTTAAGAGTAATTTAGCACAAGATATTTTTCTATATTATCAAATTCGTCCATTTTTGTTGTTTTAAGGTTCTTATTTTTATTTATTTAGTTTTTGTGCAATCATAGGAATTTCAATCATCTCTAGCTTTCAAATAGAAATGTTTTTGAAATTAATAAAAATGATATTGTTATAAACAAGGAAGAAAGAAATTGGTGTTGTTAATAAAAATTGTTTCTAAATCAAAAAAAAAAAAGTTTTATTCTCCTCCTCATAAACAAATTAACTTAACCATTAAAGTTAATTTAATTTATTTTTTACTTGATAGAATAATTCCATCATATTTCTGTTGGAACCATTTCATTGCATCCTCTTTAGTTAATCTGTGTGGATGTCCAACTTTCCCTTGCTTCCTCCTCCTATGGGCTACATTAAATCCAGGTCTCCCCAACACAACGAAAAAGTCCAAACCATAAATACCAATACTTGGGTCATATTTAATCCCTAAATCAATATGTTCTTGGATTCCAAACCCAAAGTTACCAGCGTCTGAGAAATTATCCCTTCTCAATTCGTATTCTCTCACTTTTAACCCACGCTCGAGGATTTCTTCAGCTTTGGCCCCCCTTACAGTGCAATGTACAGCAATTTTTTCATTACGTCTAATACCGAATGAACGAACGGTGTAACGTGCTTTTGAAAACACCGGTTGTTGCCCGGTTAATTGCTCAAGTACCTTTAATTAATTATTATTTAAAACATAACTTATTATTAATTAAAATTACTCACTTTTGCAGCCCTTGTTAATCTATCACCAGACTCCCCCACACAAATATTTAAACAAAGCTTTCTTATGTGCAAATCCCTCATTACATTTTTGGATTTGTCTTTAACTTCTTTCTTCTCTTTCTTTGCAACGGGCTAAAACATAAATAATTAAATCAACAATTAACATAACCTCAATTAATAATTTTTTTTTATCAATAAATCGTTATTAAAGCAAATATGAGTTAAATCTAAATCAATTAAAGTATATTTAAAGTATTATCTTAACAAAGTTAAGAAATAAAGCCGAAAAAAGGTGATTTTATGCGATTTTAACATAACCTCAAATTGGTTCAACATGACAACAACGATTATTTTATGAGTTTTTGAGAAAAAATTTTGTTGCAAATTAACGAATTTAGTACTAAAGGATGAGATTTAAGCGGAATTAATAATTTTAGGGCTTTATTTTTTAAGATGATTGCTGATTTAAGCGAATAAAAATAAATAACGCAAGTACTCACCGCCATGTTTGACTGGAAAAAGAGCTGTTTGACAGTGTCGGTAAAACAGCGTGCTTTTTATGAAATTAACGAAATTAACTTTTTGATATTTTTATTGATAAAATAAGTTTTATTTTGTTATTTATTATTTAAACGTTAAAAAATGATTTATATTTATATATAATTTATTTATATAAATTGAATTTAATAATCATAATCAAGGTTGAGTATCCATATGAACGCTGTTGTTATGAACGTATCCCCCCGACGTTGTGACGTCATTGGAAGAATTGATATTTCTATGTTTTTATTTATTTCACTTAAAAAGCAATACACAAAAATATTTAAAAAAATATATAAAATAAAATTAAAAAAATTAAAATATAAAGCGAAATATTAACGGTTATAATTTTATTTTTGTTAGGTTATCCAACTTGACTCTGTTACCATGGTGATTAAGATCCAAATATTGCAGTCAAGTTGCTTGTCAAAATTGACGTCGAATTTAAGTTTTTTTAATAAAAAAACACATAATTAATTGGATTTAAAGGTTGTATTTAATTCAAAATAGGTAAATGGACGAAATTATAAGCAAGGTAAGTGGATTAAATCGAAAAAAAAATATTTTTAGATCAATTTAGGGTTAAATAATAATTAAAACTACAATTACCGTTTTAGACTAGCGTCTTAGACACGAACTTAGAACAGTCTGAAGACACACGACTAAACCCGAATATTTCTAGGGTTAGTTCTAGTTTTACCATTGATTATACTACTCTATAGTATAAAATAGTCAATGGTTTTACACTAGCACCATCGCTAGAACTAACACAAGACCTAGAACTAGAAATAGTCGGGTTTAACCGTGAAAAAAATTTTCAGTTGTCAATGTCAACTTTAATTTTATTATTATAATCGTAATCTTCATAAAAAATCCTTTAAAATGAGTACAAACTCGACATATTTAACTTTAATATTAATGGAAATACAATCACTTCCGGTTTGAAACGTCAATTTTGACGTTTGTCAATTTGTCATTTTCATTAAAAAACCTTTAAAATGAGTCCAAACATGACGCACTTATCTCAAAAAACAAAAAAGTCAGAATAAAAAACGTTAAACCCGATGTTAGCAACAATGAAGATAGCAATTTAATTATTAAATATTAATACCAACCTTAATTTTTAATTTTTCTTTATTGTATTTTTATTTTTGTGATAAATTTTAAGAGATTTTATAAAAATTAAGAATTTGTTAAAATGACATTGACATTTCAAACCGGAAGTTGCTTATATTTTGACTAATATTTGAATTAAACGTATCATGTTTGGGCTCATTTTAAAGGATTTTTCACGACATTTACAAATATGTCAAAATTGACGTTGACATTTCTAACAGGAAGTTGACCATAACTTCATTAATATTGAAAATAAATATGTCGTGTTTGTACTCATTTTAAAGGATTTTTAATGAAGGTTACAAATATGTCAAAATTGAGGTTGACATTTTAAATCTGAACTTGGTTATCGTATAATAAACAAATGGACAACTTCATAGTGTTCTTTTATGATGTATTCTTTATTAAAAAACTTTTAAAATGAGTCCAAACATGACGCACTTATCTCAAAAAACAAAAAAGGTAGAATAAAAAACGTTAAACCCGAAGTTAGCAACAATGAAGATAGCAATTTAATTATTAAATATTAATACCAACCTTAACTTTTAATTTCTCTTTATTATATTTTTATTTTTGTGACAAATGTTAAAACATTTTATAAAAATTAAGAATACATATGTCAAAATGACATTGACATTTCAAACCGGAAGTTGCTTATATCTCGAGTAATATTGGAATTAAACGTATCATGTTTGGGCTCATTTTAAAGGATTTTTCACGACAATTACAAATATGTTAAAATTGACGTTGACATTTCTAACCGAAAGTTGACCATAACTTCATTAATATTGAAGATAAATATGTCGTGTTTGTACTCATTTTAAAGGATTTTTAATGAAGATTACAAATATGTCAAAATTGAGGTTGATACTTTAAATCTGAAGTTAGTTATCGTATAATAGACAAGTGGACAACTTGATGGTGTTCTTTTATGATGCATTCTTTATTAAAAAAAACATTAAAATGAGTCCAAACATGATGTTGCTAGACGTCATGTTTGGACATCATCTCTATGTTGTATATTTTTATTGCACTAAAACTAGAACTAACACTAGACAAAGTTTTCAAAGTTTTTTTTTACAAATTTTTCTAGTTCTTTGAGGAATTCCGTGTACTTGACGATCTCGAATATCTAAATTCATGTTATTAGTTAAATTTTCTTAATAAACAATTTCTAAATTTTTTTCAAACCAAATAAAATATTAAACAACTTTTGTATAATATGTTTTTTTATGAAGTCAATATTTACCGAGATATATACTATATTTCATACGTATCGTCAAGTACCTCTAATTATTACCGTAAATTAAAATTATATACAAAATAAGACAAATAAACGAAAAATTAGTGTACATCTCCAATAATTCGAGGTAATCGAACTCGATAAAAACTTGATACACTGGTCATCTCATCTCACGTCTAGTGCAGAAAAGTTGTGGCGTTGCAGCAGGGATGCGTAATCCGTTCCACGATCCGGGCATGATCCGTCCAAGCGTAGAGACAAATATTTGAAAAATCTTTTCTGAATTCGCTCCAACATAAGTCTATGACACACACATTGTGGCTACCAAATTACAGAGCCATACTCTAATTTGGACAATACAAAGGTCAAAAACAGGCACTTGTACACACCGATGTCAGAAAAGGCACGCGATGCAGCAGAAGATGCAATATTTTCAATGTGCGATACAAAAGACAATTTGCGGTTAAAAATAACTCCCAAATCATCCGCATAAGCTAGTACGCTTGATGAGAATTTGTTAAGAATATCATTCAAGAAGATAGCAAATAGTAGGGAGCCTAGATTTGAGCCCTGAAAAACACCAGACTTAGCCATAAACTCCATAGACGCATAACCGATGTAGTACATATAATTTATACGACCTGATAAGTAAAAGCTAAATAGTTTCATAAACTTAGGAGATAAGCCAAAAGCATTAAGTTCATACAAGAGGACGTCATGATGAATCATATCGAATGTTTTAGAAAAATCAGTGTATACCACCTGACTCCAAAGATTCACAAATCACCTCAGTAACCACCGCGAGATTTTTAATGGTTGAACGACGGTTGATAAACCCATGTTGATATGGTGATACAAATGACTGAACATGCGGATAAATCATCTTGTAAATAATCTGTTCAAATACCTTAGCGAGACTGGACAATAACGATATCGGCCGATAATCAGTAATGTTGGAACCATCTTTGAATACAGGACCAATACGTGAGTGCTTCCAAAGTTTAGGAAACGAGCAAATGCTTAAGGATAGGTTAATTATTAAATGAAGCGGAACTGCAAAAACTGCACAGCAATTACGAACGAAAAATGCAGGAAGATCATCATCACCAGCAGTAAATTTATTCGGTAACCTTTTTAGGAAATGAAGAACCTGTTCTTCAGTGACATCGGCAACAAATACTGGAGGATACGTAGAATGTACATCAACCATGTTGTAAACAGAGACACCAATATATACTCTAGAGAATTGATCTGCAAAAGCATTAACTATTTTTTCAGGATCATTTTGCCGGGAAGTCGTGAGGTCGTTGTTTTCTGTCTAATGTAACTCCGAAAGTTACGGGAATCAGAACTAAGCGATTGTTCAGCACTAATAGTAAAGGAACTATACGCATCAGAGATTTTCTGTTTAGTCAAACATCTCAGTCTTTTATATTCCGCTGAATAGAAAGTACCATTGCTTCTACTTCACTTCTTCCTATAATACTCTTTCAACTTTATTAGCAGCTTAATTTCTGGAGTGTACCAAATAGGGTATGAGAAGATAGAACATATGCTTACGTAACCTGCAGCGTCCGGTTAGGAAGTGGATGAAGAGCCTCAAATCACTTTTTGATTTTCTCAGGAACTGAGTAGACATCTTCAGGTCAGAGTAGAGCGTAAAGTTTTCTTTGCAAAGACATCTACTACAGACTCATCCCATCTATCCCAAAAAGCTCGATGGGAGATGGAGTTGATCAGCTTTGATGCTGTATTAAAAGTTAGCGGTACAAACGGTTCAGGGGAAACCGGTGACTTCTTAACCACCAGTTTCGCTAGCTTATCTGCATGATCGTGTACCTAATTTCCGATATGTCCTTTCCGCCACTTTATGGTGACGTTGTTATAAACATTATCCTCCTCAAGTGATTGCCGACAGAATTTCACTAATGGTGATGTAGTTCGATGCCTATTAAGCGCTAGCATAGCCTGTCTGCTATATTTATAGCAGTTATTTCGGCCTGAGCACTCGTGTAGTAAGACCCTAGCGAAATGAACAAGTGCAGCTGGAGATCGTGCGAGAAGATTCTCGCTTCGGAGCCTCCAGTCTTTTTTGATCTATCAGTGTGGTCCGCGTTTTACCTGTGCTAAAATTGCTCTGGGGTATCGTCTCAGTGCCAAAGTGTAACCTGTTTAAGAAAATAGGTTTGATGTAGTCTATGCTAGCTTCAAGGAGGGGTTGTTTACGAACAGCCTCACTCCAGAGTTCGCTCCGGACTATTTTTACAACCTGCTTATTATCCACTGATCGCAATCGAAGCAACACCATCACGGCCACCTCCCTGATAATAATATCTAGGAACAGCACATTCAGCATAGTCTCAGGAGTTGCAATTTTCGCAGCAGTCTAGTCTTATATGCATGTTTTAGTGCTGAGCACCAAACTATGGCTCCATGAGCTATCATAAGTATTATCACAGAAGTGTAGATCCACATTGTAACCCACGGATTTAGGATGTAATCCCAATTGCCCTTCGATATAGGATGAGTGTAATCGTTTTTTTTTTTTTTTTTGGTTTTGCAACTAATGTGTGATTTCCAAGTCAGTCCAAGATATTTCACCTCTGGAGCAAAGGTAATTGGACTGTTGCAGAAATAGGGTGGTGTTAAGTGTGTCAGTTTCCTCTGTTTGGTGAAGAGAACAATCTCGGTCTTTGCATCTATAACAAAGAAAATCCACGTCGTCAGCGTAGCCGACTGTGAAGAGATGTTTGTTTGAAGCATTGATTTATCCAGCCCGCGATGACCAATGGCACTCTTCGAGATTGCAGTACCAGATTAAACATTGGGCATAATTAACGACGTCGAATATGTCATTAATATAAATAATAAACAGTAAAGGACTTAGATAGCTACCTTTGGGAACACTAGAAAGAAACGACACAGAATGAGAGAAAAAACCTCTAACCGAAACAAACGAAAAAGAACACCAAACTTCATTTGTTTAAACAGAAGTAAGTTGTGATCCACCCGGTCGAAAGCTTTACTAAAAGTCGTATAAACTGAATCAACTTGACAACAATCATCCAGAGAAGATAAGATATACTGATTATGAGTATATTCAAACAAGTTACTTTCAACCGAGCGACCATGTTACATCATGTAAAAACCATGTTACAATTGATTTTAAACTTAAGACCAAAGAATAGATGTGCTTGAACCACTTTGTTAAACACTTTCCCAAACGCTGACAAAACAAATGTTCTTTATTTCATCATGTAATCTCAATTCGTTCTAGAGATACGCTTTTTTAAAATTTATGTTTATTATTTATAACAATCAAATATGCATAGTTGGGTTTAAAAAATCATAATAACAGTGATTATGGAAAATAAAAAATTATTTATTTTGCATTAAATATTCATCAAATTTGCTTTAAGGTCGCGGTTCAATCACGTGATGTTCGCAAAAGTGCAAAAAAAATTTGTATAGTTCCGCTGTTGGTTAAAAGAGGTCGTCGAGAGTTCAATTCAGTTATTCATAGCGACGCTTTTTTATATCAGCTTACAATTAGTCATCCTACCGTTGAAATATTTTATTCATTGAGGAATATATTCTGGTTTAGCCTTACGCGATGCCTATTCTCGATATTATTTGGTGTTATTTTCATAACTTAACATTTTTACTTTTAAACAATTAATTTTTATTTTCAATTATTTATTCAAATATTTCTATTACCTAAATTTTGGTTAACACAAATTTTTTTTACCAGTATTAGATCCTAACTCAACATTAACAATGTATTACAACAATATTAAACATTTTCGACCCAATTCCACAGGAATCAGATTTTTGGCCATATACAGGGTGGATCAGTTTTTAATCGGGAAGCTTTACTAGGATGTAGTACTTGCCAAAATAACACAAGTTTTTTATATAAACATAGGGTCCCAACTCTTTTGTTTTCGAGCTATGAGCTGTCAAAGTTGAGCCAAAAATTTACATTTTATCTTTTATTTCGAGTATAAGTAAACCATAGAATTTGAATTTTTGTATGTATGTACTACTGGCTGATACCTTATTTTCAACCATACCTTAAACTTCCCTAGCACCCTCTAAGGGGATGCAATTCACCATCCCCTTGATTTATTTTATAAGAACTTTTTAACGCTATGTAATATTAACATAAAAAAATATGGGTTATAAGCACATACTTTAGTGGTACTTTTTTGTCTCTTTAGTATTTTCTTTAAGGTGGCGATTCGAACCTCTTGGGTTCATAAAATTGATAAAAAAATCGGTTTAATTTCGTCAGTCAATGATTAATATTTCAACAATATTCATGCATTTAATTTTACAACATTACTGAATTCGTCACTTGATTATATTGTATACAGGGTGTTTCGGTGACTCGGGGAATAAATTTAACCACATATACTAGAGTGAAAATGATGACGATTCATGTAAAAAAAAATAGTAAAAGTCTTCAAATTTCAAAGATACAGGCCATCAAAGTTAGGAAATTTTAACACATTTTTCCAAATATCTTAAACACTATTTACAGTAAAGCGCTGAAATTTGGTACAGTATAAATCAATGTCGTGTAAAATTGTTAGGCAATTTATGAGTTGGATCGGTCCGCGGGAACAATGCTTACCGGCTGTTCCTAAAGTTTGTTTGCTCAGAACTTTTTTATTCTTTCATAACCCTACATTTATTTTTGCAGTTTCTAATAGTAAATTTAGTTTAGAAACTTTTATTACTCTTAGATAATATTCATAAAAATCACCGTTTTCGTGTTAAATCCAAAAATGTTGGGTTCCGATTTCAATAGTGCTATTACTAAAAAAAAGAAATCTAAGTTTTTGAACATCCTTTAGTATTTTTTATTACTTGTCTTGTTATTTTATGTACTTTTTTTATTATTCCTGTTAGTGTTGATTTTTAATTTATTGTTTTTGAGTTCTTTTATTAAACCAACTAAAACAAATTAAAAATGTGATTTAGCTAAATCTACACTTGGACATGTTGCATACATAATAGTTATGACAGCTCAGTTCGATTTTCACTTGTCATTGCTAATTCAAATTATTTATTTATTTATTTTTTTTAGTGTTATTGAATTCGGAGCCTAACATTTTTGCATTTAATACGGAAACGGTGGTTTTTATCAATATTCTCTAAGAGTGATAAAAGTTTCTAAACTAAATTTACTATTAGAAAATGCAAAAATAAATGTAGGGTAATGATAGGATAAAAAAGTTCTGAGCAAACAAACTTTATGAACAGCCTGTATAGCATTGTTCCCGCGTACCGATCCAACTCAAAAATTGCCTAATGATTTTACGTGATGTTAGTTTACGCTGTACCAAATTTCAACGCTTTACCATAAATAGTGTTTAAGATATTTAGAAAAATGTGTTAAAATTTCATAACTTTGATGGCCTGTATCTTTGCAATTTGAGGACTTTTACTAATTTTTTTTACATGAATCGTCATCATTTTCACTCTAGTATATGTGGTTACATTTGTTCCCCGAGTCACCGAAACACCCTGTATATGATGGTTTTTTATTGTGAAATAGTTTTGTAAAAATTGTTATTCTAAGATGGTTTTTTTATTGTAAAATAAAATTAAAGTTGTTATTGATTTTTATTATTTTTTATAATGTAGAACCGTTTTTTTTTGTGAATAAATAGTATTATTGTTATCTATGTCTATTACAAATTATTATTACTTTACTTTAGATTATTTATGTTCTTATATCTTGATAACAATTTGCTGTGTTATTTCTTACTTTCTCAGTGTTAATATAATCACTAAAAATTAGGGCGGAAGGACTGTGATCAGCAACTCATTCATAATTGCCTACAAATCTTCTATCTGTTATATATATTTATTTACTCAGTAGTTAAAAGAGAAATTGGCCATGAACAAATGTTATTACCAACTCAAGATTAGTAATCAATTTATAATACGTTTTATAACATTTTATTGGCAATTAATTATTTTTTATATTTATTTTTTTTTTAAATTTTTAATTAGTACCTAAAGCCATCTACAAAGTAATTGCCAAAGGTTTACTTAGTACTGTTTTGTCGATTTTAGGCAACCCATTTTACACCTTTTCGTAATGACTAAAAATTGTGACAAAATCGCATATCTTCAGAAAAAACACATTCATGAAATAATCACACAGCTATTGCACTTTTACGAATACGGAATCTGTTCCTAAGATACATAAGCATTAGATGACATATTTGCCATCTCGTTTAAGTCCCTAATCTCTTCTAGAGAACGATTTGTATTAAGCCCTTATTATGACTAACTTTCGTAATTTATTTCTGTCAGCGTCATGATTATTTTAGAATACTAAATATGTCATTCCATAGAGTAATATATGTACTTCAAGCCTACGTATTTACTTTTTTATAAATATGTAGCATTAAGTCGTGAATGTACATCTACGTAACCTCTCCCGGCGTATATAAAAATGGACGCTTTGAACCGCCCCCTTAAAATGTTCTTTATTTTATGATGATATCTCCACTCGTTCTTGAGATACGATTTTTTAAAATTTATATTTCATAATATATCTATTACTCATTTCTACCTTTTTATGATTTTCTCTATATTTATGCATCTAAGAGCAAAAGTGTAAAAGGACAATATTGTTAAGAATAATGTTTGCTACAACTTTTATACTAAAACTTTTTTCTGAAACGTCGCGAATAGCGGCTTTACCAACAAGAAGATGTAAAAGCACCGAATTTTGTGCTTCACTAACAAGAAGATGTAAGATCTAATTTTCACCTTTTACAGTTTATCTCGATATTTATGCGTCTGAGAGCAAAAGTATAAAAGAGCAATATTGTTAAAAATGCAGTATACTACAACTTATATACTAAAACTTTTTTTCTAAAACGTTCCGCACCCCGTGCTATACCAAAAACAAGATGTAACCATGATTTCATCTAATTTTCACTTTTTAGAGTTTTTCTTAATATTTAAGCATCTGCGAGTAAAAGTGTATAAGAGCAATATTCTTAAAAATGAAATATTTTACAATTTTTATACAAAGACTTTTTTTGTAAAACGTTCCGAATCTCGTGCTCCACCAACAAGAAGATATAAAACCACGATTTCATCTAATTTTCACCTTTTTTAAGTTTTTCTCAATATTTAAGCATCTGAGAGTAAAAGTATATAAGAGCAATATTCTTAAGAATGAAGTATTTTACAACTTTTATATAAAGACTTTTTTATAAAACGTTCCGAATCCTGTGCTCCACCAACAAGAAGATATAAAACCACCATTTCATCTAATTTTCACCTTTTTTGAGTTTTTCTCAATATTTAAGCATCCGAGAGTAAAAGTGTATAAGAGCAATATTGTTAAGAATGAAGTATTTTACAACTTTTATATAAAAATTTTTTTTCTAAAACGTTCCGAATCCCGTGCTCCACCAACAAGAAGATATAAAACCACGATTTCATCTATTTTTCACATTTTCGAATTTTTCTCGTTAAGAGTAAAAGTATAAAAAAGCAATATTGTTAAGAATGAAGTATTTTACAACTTTTATATTAAAAGTTTATTTCTGCCACTTCCCACCCTTTGTTGCAGCGATCGATATTAATATTTTAGGTTGCTAGGAAACGTACACAAATTTATTTTGGACGTTAGACAGTTAATAAAGTTGTAATAAGCTTAATAATTTGTAAAAAGAATGGATGAACCGCCTGAAGAATGCGAAGATGAAGTTGCCCCGGTTCAGCAAGAACCTCAAGTTACTTCATCGGATCCAAACGAACGAAAATTAGCTCGAAGGTTAAGGATTGAGCGCAGAATTGAAGCTTTAAGGAGAGCTGCTTTAAGTCGCAGAAACACCGAAGAAGAAGGGTAAGTTAATTCAAATTTGGGTTTCTTATAATTTACAGCTTTTAATTTTGATAGGATAGAGATGCAGGAAGATGAAGGGGAACAGGATGAATCTGATAGTCCGGCAGAAAAGAGTCTGGTACAAACACAACTGGAAAAAAGTGCAGCAGTGATGGATAAATTAATTACGGAAGCTTATGAGAATGTTACAAATGTGAGAGTAGCTAATGAGAGTCGTGAAATTGATCGGAGGGAGATTGAAGGGATTAATCGTGAGAAATTAATCGAAGCTTTGGAGGAAGAGGCTAAAAAGGCGGAGGAAATGTTTGAAGAAATTGCAGATCATTGGAGTGATATTTTAAAGTATCACGATCCATTAGCAATTCACGATGAAATGGAATCGCAAAAAGAAAAATGCGAGGAATTATTAAGGCAGAAAGATGGAATAATAGCAATGTTAAAAGACGAAATAAAAAAAGCTGAAATAAACTTCACAAACGATCAAAAAAAGCAAAACCAAGACATAACTTCATTAACACACCGCATCGAAAATCAAATTAAAGCAATGAGAGTGGCTTACAAAGCGGAAATACAACACATCGACGATGTTATCATAGAAGAAAGAAAAATCTTAATCGATATAAACAACCGACAATGGGAAGAATTATACAAAAAACGCGAACTCGAAGAAGAACGCCAAGTTAAAAGAAAATTCGAACAACAAGAAGAATTCATAGTAGCAATGGACGAAATACGTCGCGTTCAACAAGAAAAATATCGCGAAATAAAAATCAGATTAGAAAAGGAACTCGAAACGATCGAAACCGAATTTGAAGCCATCAAATCGGCCGCGATGATGAATTGCGAAAAATTAGATTACAACTTTCAAATATTAAAGAAACGCGAGGACGAAAACTTGGTTTTAAATTCGCAACAAAAAAGGAAAATTAATAAATTACAAGATGTCGCGATTGCGATACGAAAAAGAAACACCGAATACGAGGAGAAAACTAATACGGAAATTGCGAAGTTGATTAAAGACGTTACTAAGTTGCAAAATTCCGCTGTTGAAATCAAAACGAAAGCTGTTACTTTGTCGAAGAAAAACGACGAGAAGTTTCAACAAATTTGGGAATTGAATGCTTTTGATGCGAATAAATTGGTTAATAGAATTATGGGGATTGATAAAATTTTGTATGAACAACAATTGGGGATTGAATGGAAAAAACCTGAGGGTGTTATATTGAATCAGAAACAACTTGGGAGTTATATCAAAGCGATGGACATTTTAGGAAACGAAGATTCTAAAAGTAAGTTCTCCATCACTTTTAATTTTTGAGTTATGATCAACTTTATGGGGATTTTTACTTTCTAACTCGAAAATGATAATAACTAAGTTGAATTTGGTAATGGATTATGTACTTTTGGTTCATTATAAACAATTAATATGTAAAATATTTTTCTCCATTTCCTTTAATTTTTAACTTATGATCAACTTTATGATCGAAAATCATTAATTTTAACATTTTGGGGATTTTTACTTTCTAATTGAAAAATGATAATAACTAAATACAATTTGGTAATGGATTATGTATTTTTGGTTCATTATAAACAATTAATATGCAAAATATTTTTCTCCATCACCTTTAATTTTTAACTTATGATCAACTTTATGATCGAAAATCATTAATTTTAACATTTTGGGGATTTTTACTTTCTAATTGGAAAATGATAATAACTAAGATGAATTTGGTAATGGATTATGTATTTTTGGTTCATTATAAACAATTAATATACAAAATATTCTTCTCCATCACCTTTAATTTTTGAGTTATGATCAACTTTATGATCGAAAATCATTAATTTTAACATTTTGGGGATTTTTACTTTCTAATTGGAAAATGATAATAACTAAGTTGAATTTGGTAATGGATTATGTACTTTTGGTTCATTATAAACAATTAATATGCAAAATATTTTTCTCCATCACCTTTAATTTTTGAGTTATGATCAACTTTATGATTAAAAATCATTCATTTTAACATTTTGGGGATTTTTACTTTCTAATTAGAAAATGGTAATAACTAAGTTGAATTTGGTGATGGATTATGTACTTTTGGTTCATTATAAACAATTAATATGCAAAATATTTTTCTCCATCACCTTTAATTTTTAACTTATAATCAACTTTATGATCGAAAATCATTAATTTGAACATTTTGGGGATTTTTACTTTCTAATTGGAAAATGATAATAACTAAGTTGAATTTGGTAATAGATTATGTACTTTTGGTTCATTATAAACAGTTAATATCCAAAATATTTTTCTCCATCACCTTTAATTTTTGAGTTATGATCAACTTTATGATCGAAAATCATTAATTTTAACATTTTGTGGATTTTTACTTTCTAATTGGAAAATGATAATAACTAAGTTCAATTTGGTAATGGATTATGTACTTTTGGTTCATTATAAACAATTTATATCCAAAATATTTTTCTCCATCACCTTTAATTTTTGAGTTATGATCAACTTTATGATCGAAAATCATTAATTTTAAGATTTTGGGGATTTTTACTTTCTAATTGGAAAATGATAATAACTAAGTTGAATTTGGTAATGGATTATGTACTTTTCGTTCATTATAAACAATTAATATGTAAAATATTTTTTTTCCATCACCTTTAATTTTTGAGTTATAATCAACTTTATGATCGAAAATCATTCATTTTGGGAATTTTTACATTCTAATTGGAAAATGATAATAACTAAGTTCAATTTGGTAATGGATTATGTATTATTGGTTCATTATAAACAATTTATATGCAAAATATTTTTCTCCATCACCTTTAATTTTTGAGTTATGATCAACTTTATGATCGAAAATCATTAATTTTAACATTTTGGGGATTTTTACTTNTTGTTAATACAATTTTTTGCTAACTTGAAATTTTAATTTCCCTCTGAATAGTATGAGATCAAAATTAATTATCTCGATATTATTGTTTTTATCAAAAAATGTTTTAAATAAAATTTGTTTCAATTTCGATTTTGAATCAATTATCTTAATAAAATTTTTTTACATCTCTATTTATTTAGCATCTAAGTGTAATTATGTATAAAAATGGAAAATTATTATTTTGAGGTTATCTCCTCAATTATTGATTAAATCAAAGAAAATTGTTGACAAAGGTTGTTTAGAATTATTTCAGGAACAAGTTTTGTTAACGCAATTTTTTTCTAACTTGCAATTTTAATTTCCCACTGAACAGTATGGTACAAAAATTAATATTTTTGTGGTTATATCCTTATTGTTGATTTAATCAAAAAATGTTGTTAACAAAATTTGTTTAGAATTACTTCAGGAACAGTGTTTGTTAATANGTACTTTTGGTTCATTATAAACAATTAATATGCAAAATATTTTTCTCCATCACCTTTAATTTTTGAGTTATGATCAACTTTATGATTAAAAATCATTCATTTTAACATTTTGGGGATTTTTACTTTCTAATTAGAAAATGGTAATAACTAAGTTGAATTTGGTGATGGATTATGTACTTTTGGTTCATTATAAACAATTAATATGCAAAATATTTTTCTCCATCACCTTTAATTTTTAACTTATAATCAACTTTATGATCGAAAATCATTAATTTGAACATTTTGGGGATTTTTACTTTCTAACTCGAAAATGATAATAACTAAGTTGAATTTGGTAATGGATTATGTACTTTTGGTTCATTATAAACAATTAATATGCAAAATATTTTTCTCCATCACCTTTAATTTTTGAGTTATGATCAACTTTATGATTAAAAATCATTCATTTTAACATTTTGGGGATTTTTACTTTCTAATTAGAAAATGNTATGCTACAAAAATTAATATTTTTGAGGTTATATCCTTATTGTTGATTTAATCAAAAAATGTTGTTAACAAAATTTGTTTAAAATTACTTCAAGAACGGGGTTTGTTAATATAATTTTTTTCTAACTTGAAATTTTAATTTCCCTCTGAATAGTATGCTATCATAATTAATTATCTCGATAATTATCGTTTTTAACAAAAAATGTTTTAAATAAAATTTGTTTCAATTTCGATTTTGAATCAATTATCTTAATAAAAAATTTTTACATCTCTATTAATTAAGCATCTAAGTATAATTATGTATAAAAACGGAAAAATTATTATTTTGAGGTTATCTTCTTAATTATTGATTAAATCAAAAAAAATTGTTGACAAAGTTTGTTTAGAATTGTTTCAGGAACAATTTTTGTTAACACAATTTTTTTCTAACTTGAAATTTTAATTTCCCACTGAACAGTATGCTACAAAAATTAAT